GCAAAAGTATGTTGAACTGAATAGGAGACCAAGACAGGAAGAGAAAAAAAAAGAGATATCCATGAGATAAAGGAGATGTGGGTAAGAGTAAAAGCAACCAACACACACAAAAGCCTCAGTGTGGACTCAGAATCTTTCATTGTTTAATGACAGAATTTTCTCTGGCAGTTCTCCATTACATGTACCTGATTTAACTCAAAATTTTACTCCTCCATTATTTCTTTAAATGTGTATTTTTTCCTTCTAAATAAATTAAAAATTGAAACAGAAGCAACAACATCCAACTCATGGAACTATCTCTGATCTTTCATGAAAGAAAAAAAGTGCAGATTTAGAGATGTAGGGAAAAAATGCTACATTTTGTTCACTTAAGTTCAGCTACAGTGTTACATTAAATACATTAATTTATAGAATTATGAGAAGAGTAAATCAGAAGCAAAGTAAGAACACAAAATTGGTCAAAATCATACTTCAGAAATGCTGCTATTTGACTTTACAGAAGAACTTTGTAATTCTCATTCCATATGCTTTATGTCACCATCACCTTCAAACAAAGACCAAAAACTAGCTATGATTTAAGTTCTAGCTTTCTGACACCCACTTTTAAGACAGTTGTTTCTGTTCCTGGAAAAATGGATACTATTTGGCCAAACCACAGGTGTCCTTTGTCACATGAAACATGTAGGATCTCAGTAATATTGACAGCCATCTGAAATTCAGGGGCTCTTGTCACGACAACTGATACATAACCATCACATCTACCAGGGCTCTCCAGAATCCTGGCAACCTAAAAGGCTTGTTCAAATTACATGCACTGAAACTGAAAGCATATTTTTTCCTCAGTACTTCAGTACCAACCTTCTGTGCATAATCATATCTGTTTCCTAATATACTTCCAAAATAATTGAAAATATAAGAAGAAAACTTAAACTAAATTCTAACAAGGTACTTAGACTCAAGACTACAGTATGCTGTATCACAGTCTTTATAATTGGGCTCAGAGAACCTGATGTAGAAAAAAAAAGGCAACATAAAAAAGCTCAATTCTCAAATCTCTGTAGAACTAGTAGTTGGGAGAAAAATTCTCTACACATATATCAAGTTAATTTGTCTGAGAAGTCACTGACAAACTGTGATTCACATAGCAGTACCTGTCATGCCAACTAACAGAAAAGCACTTCAGAAAGTGGCAAGACAAACAGTAGGGGCAATTCACCTGACCTTAGATAAGAAAAATAAGGAAGCAAAACTGAAAAATACAGAAGATAGAAAACTAATATTGGAACTCGATGCCAACACTGAACACTAAATTTAAAAATAAGCCCTCAGGAAGGAAATGTTTCTCATTTATTATAAACAGTGAAAGGAAAGGTAGTGAAATATATTGGAAATGTGCTCTAATTAGATACTGTAGGAGATTTTTTCTTGTGTTCTTTGAAGAAGACAAAAAAAAACCCCTATAATTTACAGAAAATTTACTAAGAAAACTAGACAGGTGCATGATTTGATATTTGTGTAAATGCTTAAATTAAAATACTACGGGAAAAGATTAGTTTCATTCTTTGAAGTTTAGGATTCTAAAGCACATCCTTTTCCTCTATAAAGAGATTAATTATCAGAGAAAACAATAGACAATGATTCTTAATACCACCTATTGTCAGTACAATATCAAACCTATGAAGCCAGTATAATATTTATGCCAAGGAGTATTCCAATGTCTACCTACAATATGCCAATGCATACCTACATTGCCATCAAATGTCAGGGCTAATTTTTAGCAGTAGCTGGGAGGGGGCATGCCTAGGAAAGAGAGATTATTCTATATCACCAGAGGTCATTACCAGGAGAAGGGGTTCTTTCTGGTCAAGAAAACATGGCAGGGGAACTGTCAGGTCTTGTTTATTCTTATACAGTCCATAGTGAACATTTTTGTACATGAATCACTCTCTTTTGCACATATTTATTACCATTGTTGCTGTCACTTTTCACTTCTTCTCTCATTTCTGTTTCCAGTAAATTGTTCTTCTCTCAACCCATAATGTTTTGTGCCTTCACCAGAAGGTGGGGTGGAGGGGGAACAACATTTGGGGTCTTTTAGTGAGAATACTAAATTGGAGAATACCATTTCAAAACCATGACGAGTAAGGCATTCTATATTTGAGACAGGATTAAGGTAGACATCTCTAATTACAGGCAGTACAAACAGAACTGAACAGCTTTAAGACAAAGAATTCATGAAGATATATTTACTGTGAAAAAAGGTAAAAAGCAATATATTCCTTGAACAAAAACATATTCGTGAAACAATGAGCTATTGAAGGCAACAAATCTCTCCAGATGAAAAGGACTGTAGAAATAGCACTTACACTGAAGAATGGAGAACTGGAGGAACATCTCGAGTCATAAAGACCAATATCCTCTCAAAAAGAGCCACATAACATTTTTCATACTAAGCTTTTATTTTCTTCATATCTGCTTTTATATTCAAGGTAAGCATTTCAGGTTTTGTTTGCCCCTGCAGCTTCTTCTAAACGTGTAGAAATTGTTCACCTTTAAACCTTTCCTTACCTAAGTCAGTAGTAGATGAAGGTGTTTCAAATGTTTTAACCACACTATAAAAGTTTGCATGGTGAAAATGTGCTCAATATTGTTTCATACAGAAGAGGCTTAAAAAAGAGAAAAAAGGAATGGTACAGCTGATAACCTTTGGTACACACTGAAATTCACATAGGTTCCAGTTCCTGGGGAAAGACGGTATTTTTAGTGTCCAGAGTGTGACAATACTGGCAAGGAAACTGGAGAACTTAAACTAACAAAAAACATTGCAAAAAATACTTGGGATTAAAACTGTTTGCAAAGATGTCTTCAGAAAATCCCAGTAATTTATGCCAACTACATCCCTCGAATTGTACAAATCCTTTACTGCATTAATTCAATACCTGGGCCTACAGTCTTAATCACTGTGTATCACAAGCCCATTTTTCTGTGTTTTTCTTTCCTATAGAAATACTGAACCAGTTACTTGGCATTAAACATTTTAATATTAAATGTAGGCCTTGGAAATAGGAAGAGCAACATCCTAAAGATGCTGTAATGATGGACTGGATTAATGTGATAACATTCATGTTAAAATCATAGCATGTTGTCTATCTGCCAACAAAAACAAGCATTTCTGCAGCACAATTTACATCAAACTCTAATCTCTATCATGTATTTTAAAAAGGTCACATGAACTGCACTGTGAAAATGTTTATGCTTTCACTGACTTTAAAATGAGATTATGGTAAATATAGATGACTACACTGCAGAAATCTAAAGTAAGGAAAGACCCATCCTGTTCAGATGAAATTATTTGTCAGCTGTTTCTTTTAATCGATAAGGATCTGACTTTCATAAAATTTATATTTAGGTTTGCTGGTTTTGTTTGTTTGTTTTCTGGCTGGAGCTGATAACTTAAAATGAAAATATCTATGAAAGTTCTTTAAAATGATATCTTAGAAGAATCATTATTCCAGATATTATGCTCTGTAAGCACATGTTAGGTCAAATGCTTTAGAGCAGGTAATTTCATAAAAATTATTACCTTTCAAATCAAATATCAAATTTTAAAGCCTCTTATTTTTATTTTAAATTTTTTTTTTTTTTTGCTGAGCACATATACACACATAACCATATGTACTCCTCACCCTAGAATGAATGTTCAGTAGAGCATTACTGACAGTAGATACTTAGAAACCATTGGATTCAGTATAGAAAATAAATAATAAAAACCAGCCACATTTCTTTTAGGTTGCACACAAGAAAAGCATCTACCCAAGGTCTAATTAAGTAGAAGGTTCATTTTGGCTCAAAATACAAGAAACCAGTGAACCCCTTCAGTAATGCAAGAGAATGTTATCAGCAACAGGTAAATTCTCAATATCTGTTACGCTTGTATTTGTTTAATTTAAAGTAAGAGAAAAAAAAGTCATAGACTGGTTTGGGTTGGAAGGGACTCTAAAATTATCTAGTTCCAACCCCCACTACCATGGGCGGGGGAACCTTCCACTAGACTAGGTTGCTCAAAACCCCAACCAGCCTGATCTTGAACACTTCCAGGGACTGGGCATCCACAGCTTCTCTGGGCAAACTGTGCCAGTGTCTCACCACACTCACAGTAAAAGACTTTTTATGTCCCATGTGAATCTACTTTCTTTCAGTTTAAACTATTGTTCTTTGTCCTGTCGCTACAGGCTCTGGTAAAACATCTCTCTCCATCTTTCTCACAAGCCCCCTTGATATACTGCAAGGTTGTAACTAAGGCATTCCCTAAGCTTTCTCTTCTCCAGGCTGAATAACTCCATCTCTCTCTACTGGTCTTCATAGGCTTCAGCCCCCTGATCACTTCTGTGTGCTTCCTCTGGGTCTGCCAGAAGAAGTGCCAGAAGCCAGTGTTCCCACAGCATTTCAACATTTCTGTGTTCAACTGAGCCATTTAATGAACAGTGCAACTGCTCAGCTTAAACCCACTTCTGTCATCTGGCTAAGATGCTCTGCCAAACTTTGCACTGGTCTATTCAATGGAAAAATCAAATATCCACTAAAAGGAATATTGATAGCTGAAAGCATGAAGAGTGATAGAGGTAGTCAGGGTTAAAGGTATCTCTATTTGTCAGTGTATCATCTCTTAGAACACATTTGTCAAGATCAGCATTGTAAGATAATCAGAAAAAAAAAAAAAAGAGTTCCAAGAGCAAAGGTCAAAGCCACCATAAATTATACTAGGACTAGCAGTGACTCAGAAAGAATTCCCATGTACTTTTTGTTCGACTTCATTTCATATGTAGTGATTTTTTTTCCCATATGTAGTGAATTCTCCTTTCTGTAAGAATTCAGGACCCTCCTCTCAGATGAGACATAACAGAATCATCAGGTTCTAAAGCTATGCTTAAATAAAGTTGGTCAATACAATTCTCCCCTGCAATGGATGAAAAAACAGGAATCAATCCAATAAATAAAAATTGCAATCTGAAATATTTCCAATCTTCCAGGCATTCTGTTCTGTGTTTTTACTCTGGGCTGTTTCTGGTACAGAAAATACAAACAGGACACATCTGTTAACTATGTTCTGGAATTAACCTCCACACAAAACAAAAACAGAGGCAGTCCCACTATCAGACCTTCCAAACACTAGAATGAACAATGAGGTTATAGAATAAATTGTTACTGTCAGTTTCAGGCAAAGGCAGAAGGATGTTTTATTATGTAAGGTATGTGATCCTAAAAACATCATAAGATCCTGCCCTGTTAAAACACTCTCCCGTTGGAAGAGCAAGATATAACAGTGGAGGAGGATTCTTGAAGCCAAGGGTCAGATAAAGGCATGAGTTAACTCAGGCTGCAAGAGAATCCTTTTATTTGGCCATTTAGTGATAGGATAAGGGGCAATATTTCAAATTATTAGTAGCCTCAAATTGAAATAGAGAGGTTTAGATTAGATATAAGAATGAACCTCTTTAATGTGAGTGCATTGAGGAACCGGAACAGGTTGCTCAGAAAAGTTCTCATCCCTGGAATGCGGCTCTGAGCAACCTGGTCTAGAGGAAGGTGGCCCTGACCATGGCAGGGAGTTTGGGACTAGCTGACCATTAAAAGTCCCTTCCATCACATAACATTCCGTGATTCCACAAGGCAGAAATATACAAAATAAACAAACATATATAAGCAAACTAAAAAAACCATCAGAACTATAAATAAGTCACACCAACCTACAGCCTTGATGGGCACGGTAACAAGAAAAATTTAAGGTCTCTGTACATATAGTTTATATTTTGTCTAACAACAAGATACAATTTGACAAAATAAATAACACATTCTTCCAGAGAAGCAACTTCCTTATTGCTGTACTTCTCCACAGGCAACAAAGAGAAGTGCTATGACATGCAAAAGCACAGATGATATTCAGTAACTGGATGCTACTCAGGAGAAAACCAAAGGGGTTGCTGCTCAGAGACCCTTTTAAAAAATAGTTATACTCCTCACTCCAGTTAGATGATTTCCTCTTATCTGAGAGCAATCAAGTGTTTGAAGAAGCAGTCCAGAGATAAAAATAATACAGAGGCCATAAAGTTTGGAAGAGTTCCAAAGGTCATCACATGCATCACATCACACGCAAAACCCTCTACCATTTTACTTGTTATTCATGAACAGCCCTTTTTTGAAAAGCATGCACAAACTCTTTGAAGTAAACCTCTATACCAAAAATATTGGAAAATAGTCTAAATACGGTTCATATATTTTCAAATAGTCACCACATAACATTTTCCTATTTGTAGGGCTAACATAAATGCAGGAAGAGATGACTTTCAAAACATTGACAATAAGCAAATTTGCCAACCATCTGTCCAAAAAGCAGTCTAACTTAGACTTAAACACAGGGAAAAAAAAATAGATTCCCAGCCCAGCAGTGGAACAGCACACCTGATCAAACATGAGATCAAGCGTGGAAACATTCTAGTTTGAATTTAGCAACAAAGAATATGCAGACCAGGAAGATTGTGGCTAATCAAACCTGCCTGGATTTGCCTATATATCTAACACTTCTATATGAAGCTCAGTATCCAAGTTCATTTTTGAGTTATTGACAACATTCAATGCACACCACTAACAAACAATATTTGACATGCCAGATGCTGGACTAGCTGTCAATGTGGGTTTTTTCATGTAATAGCCTTCTGGTTAGAGCACTCTAAGAAAGCACTAAATTACACCTTAAAAACTGAGATATTTCATACCATCCCCTTCTAGCAGAGAAGAATGAGTGGGAAAATACCGATCCCTAAGGGCTAACCTCAGTGAAGGTCTTTCTACTACTTCTTCAGGGGCATCAGCAAGGAAAGACCAAAAGATTAACAGGACCCCAGTAAAAGAAAATCTAATCCATCTCATGCTCATACCCTTAGCTGGAGCAGCAGAGCTCTACTCCATGGCCCCAGTACTGGTTTCATAGTAAATGGTAAGGAAAAAATAGTACATTACATAAAGAGCACAAAACAAACTGTCAAAGAGGTCTCAATTTCCGTCCTGTCAATCCTGCTGAAAGACATAGAATATTTCTCAACCACATATTTAATTGAAAATATCCATTTTCCTTCTAGTTTCTCCTCCCTACCTACTTCCCATTATCCATCCACATCAGTGGTTATACTTGCAATGGAAGTATGAATTGCCAAAATAAAACACATTTGAGAAATTGTAATGGTGCTTACTTAGCCTTAAACGGGTCAAATTCAATATTCAAAGCAGTAAGAAGACATTTCTTACGTTGATGCCAAGGACTTCTATGTAATACATCATCTGGACAGACTACAGCACAACTGGTGAGACAATCTCAGTGTCAATTTGGTACTCACACTGACAGGTAGTATGTTGTAGAAGCCATCAACTTCTAAGCACAGGTTTTATCACAAAAATTGAGTCTGCCTCAAAAGGAGCAATTGGGACAGTACATAAAGAAACAGAATTTTAATATTTTATTTTTTCTATTTAATGTCATAAAGGCGTTATTTTTCCTTTTTATATAAAAATTAGACTGAAAAAAGTTTGACTTAGAACAGTTGTTCTCTATGTCACATTCTACAGAGTTTGGGAAAAATACATACAGAGTAATTCTTGCAGAAAATATAATACAGTTACAGATCAGGTAAACGGATTTTTTAAAAATCTGTGGTTTTCAGTTTTGAAAACAGAAGGGACCTGAATGACAACAGATCAATAACAGGAGCTGAAGGCTTTCATTCAGAGCTGACTTGTTTGCATCCAACATAAATGGGCAGTAACCATTTACCATCTAACAGCTGTTCAGTAGCCTATGCATGATGACATAGTAGCCCCTGTTGTAGAAGTGGCCAGATGACAGTCACAGTTAATTGCCATTCCTGCTGTCAGTCTCAAATAAGGAAATAATAAGACCTGGAGACCATACTAGCCCATGCCTTTTAGACAGAAAGCAACTCTAGAACAGGAAAATGAAAAGGTATTTCTCAAATGAGCCATGTCTACCCAATATGTAGCAGGATCTCAATTTAATAAAGGTTAACATAATATAAATTCATATAATATTTTTTAATGTTTTAACTCCATCCAGGAACCCAGCCCCAGGCAGCTGCTCACTCAGTCCCCATGAGCAAGACTGGGGAAAGAATCAGAAAGGTAAAAGCTAGAAAATGCATAGGTTGAGAGAAAGATAAGTTTAATAGGGAAAGCAAAAGTCATGCACACAGGCAAAGCAAAACAAGAAATTAATTCATCCCTTCCCATGGGCAAGCAAGCAGGTGTTCAGCTGTCTCCAGGAAAGCAGGGCTCCATCTTGTGTAACAATGACTTGGAAGATGAACACCATCACTCCCAACCTCCCCTCCTTCTTCCCCCCTTTCATATACCGAGCATGATGGCACATGGTCTGGAACATCCCTTTGGTCAGTAGGTGTCACCTGCCCTGACTGTGCCTCCTCCTAACCTGCCACGTACCTGCAGTTTCCTCACCAGTGTGGCAATAAGGAAAGCAGAAAAGGCCTTGGCTCTGTGTAAGCCCTGCTCAGCAATAGCAAAATTATCTCTGTATTATGTTACAGGAAATACTTTGCATTCTGGACTTTTAGACTCCTTTTTCCTACTATCATCAGTAGTAAGCATAAATGCTGGTTTTCATACTGCTCTCTTCCATACACTATACTCAAAGCATGGAGGTCAATGTTCCAAGCACCATTCAATTTTGGTACCCATTCAAAAAAACCCATTTACTCACCCTCAGAAGTATTACCTTAATGGAACAGCACAGGGCTCTAGCGTTCAACTGATTAGGCTTAGAAAACAGTATAAAAAAGGAAAAGTAAAAGCTTGTAACTGCCATAACTTTGCTAAAAGCTGATTCCTATATTGCTTAGAAAGTTACCACTTACATATAAAAAGCTTTTCAGTATTTATAGCCAATTCAACTGAATAAATGTACTTAAAAGTAGTTCTGAATCAAAACTATGTTAGATTCCTAATGTAGCATGCAAATGTGATACCACGTAGAAGTTCCTTAATTTGACAAAACTTTCTAGCATGAACAGAAATACATACTCCAGTTATAAAGAATTTTAAAAAAACCCATAACAACAAGCCTATTCATTTTACCTTTACAACAATAAAAGACACTATGTGAGGTATTCACTGTAGGTACTTCTCTCTGGTTTACTACTGTTTATTAAGCAAGTATGCAAGATACATGTCTGGAATCAAAAACAACTCTTTTAATTCTGAATTGCCATGAAGGTGGCCACCCTCTACCAGGAGAGCTTCCTGAGGCTGTTTTTTGCATTTAATGATGCTTCTGCTTAGTAAAATAACTCCTTGTTGGTCACACCAAGGACCATAAACAGCCTATTTCTACTACTTTGGTTTTGTCTTCCCCTGTTGAGAGCCTTTCAAATCAGACCATTTTCCTTCAGATGGAGAATATTACATTATATTTATCACTATAGCAACTAACCTAATTGATTTGATGCAGGTTTCTCTTCCACCATAGGATGGAGCCATTACCCCTAAGTATAATCTAAACATTTAAGAAAGAAAAAAATTATCAGTTTATCATTTTACCACATCAATAGGAATATAATTGGGCTTCATATACTAAAGGATAATGGGTTGTACATGTACATCCAGAACATTCTTTATAAATATGTTTATCTGCAAAGTGGAACTTAAAGTATGGTGTTTACTGATTGCTCCCAGGAATAGGGATGACTACATTTGTACAACAAATACACTTCCAGAAACAAAGATTCACAAAGTAATTAAAAGGAGAAGCAATGTTCAAATAATTGATTCAGAAATAAGCTTTGTCAGACTAACAGATTAAAAATAGAAATAGGCAAGATACATCAAAAATTGTATTTACAGTGCTATTAAGAAAGGAAAAATGGAAAAGTTATTTTCCAAATTTTGTTTTGGAGGCTGCAGGGTTTGTTTTCAGTAGACTTAAACAATAAAATAATAAAATATTAGGTTCCTAAAATTAGTTTGATAATATATTCACCTTTATTGTTATACACCTGAGGTGTGGGGAAAATAGAGACCACCTTACACAGTCAAAATATTTCCTTTTACTTCCTATGAAATATGGCAATCCTGCTTTTTTAAAAGTATTTTTTAAAGTTATCACATACTCCCCAAATTTGCTTTTCTTCAAAAAGAGGCATCAGATGAAAAAAAGGCTGATTAAACTCTAGCTGATTTTTAAGAGAATTCATAAAATCTGAAGTGCTGCTTTACCTAGAAATAGCTTCACTTTTTTTAATCTTGATTTTTCACAGAGCATAAACCATTTTTTTCAATGTCTCAAATACTACCACTAGAGAAAATGTTCATGATGCTTCATTAACATTTGGAATTGCAATTGTCAAATCAGTGAAGTATTACATAAATGGTGGAGTGTTTTGACACTGCATATTTTAAGCAGCATGGTGCCTTTCAGTGCTATATGAAATGAAGAGTGTACTACATATTTGAGGAACACCATCTACACTGGCTGAAAGGAGTAATTAGAAACTGATCTTAAAGCACACTAGAAAATGCCTTCAGATTATCAGCAAATATTTGCATTTTTCATCAGTAAACAATGCAAAAAATAAACAATGAAACAATTATGTTCAATTCAAACAATATGTAACAATTCAAATGGATGACTACATTCCTTAGGATAAAACATTGTCAAAATTCTCATCTCTGAAAATAAGTAATTTTTAAAGTGTCAGAGTTCATGGTTAGAATTATGCACAGAGGATCTCATATAGTCTCATAAGAAGCCTGTGACACTTTGGACACTTCTAACACAAACTTAACAAAATATTTCCTATCACTAACACCAAACTGAATTCCCTTTGCACTTGAACTATTCATTCCATAATATGCACTCCCATGATACAATATATTATGTTACAACTAACTATGTTGTTTAGTATATCCTCTACATTACCACATTGAATATATCATTATGTACAAACATATTATTTAAACTGTATCCTGTTTAATATAATTTATTAGTGAGAAGTGTAATGCAAAATGTGCTAAATTACAAAAAAACCTCCAAAATATGTTATTCTTTTTGGCATAATTCACTTTCAGTGCCATCAGTATAAAGGACCCCTGTAATATACAAAACAGAAGTTAATTAAAGGTTCTCCTAACCAGTTACAATCTTGTTTCAAAAAAAAAAAAAAAAAAAAAAAACAAAAAAAAAAACCCAAAACACATACATAGAAAAATGGTCAGTGCAATACAGTTGGAGGAAATGGAACAGAGGGTTAAGAAATGCAGCAGGTATGCTCCTGCAAACCAGCATTATTTCCTATTCATCACAGCCTACACCTATTACAGCTCAACAAGACAAGCCTAGTACAAAATCTTTTATGCTACAGCTAATGAGAGCAATATGCACCATGGGTAAATTATAGACCCCATTCAGCTCAGGGTGGGAAAATACAGTGTAGATTCATTTTGGCAAAGCTGTGTGGGTCCTTCCTGATAAATTGTGTTTCTTTTATTGTTATTATTATAGCGTAAAAACTGCTTTTCTATTCTCTTTGCAAGTTTCCTACTCTGGTGCTATGGACTAACTTGCATTCCCTAACTTGAGGGGTGGGCATTAACTCCATTTACATTATATAACTGCTTGAAATTGATTCTTGCTGAAAGCAAAACAAACAAAAATGACCAAAAACAAACAAAAAAGCAGGAAAAAATAAAGACCTTTTAAAGTATTTATAGTCCAAGTACTTGATTCTTACATATACCTTATCTGCAACACTTTAATAATGGAAAATCTATCAAGCCTTAAAAAAGAATATAAAAACTTTAGTGATAACCTAAGATGCAGCTCTAAAAATGGCAACACGGACTTACTAAACTGCTGAGGATACGCTAAGAAAGTGCCAAGATTTGCTTCTTGGAATTTCAGAGGATCACATATGATCCCAGGGATATCAAGACATCTGTCACTTGATGAAGTATGTGCTTCCTAAAAGAATGAATATAATCAAACCAGCTGTCCCTTCATGGAAGGTAGACAGAGTTAGAAGAGCATGTATGTGGAGGGAACAGCCTCAGATAAATCTGGTAACATCTGACAATAAATAGTGAACAGCGGATCAGGGCTACTATCGCTAGAAAGTTTGTTTCTAAAATCCAAGAGATTTTAGAATTAGATTTGGACTGGAAATGCAACATCTACAACCTAAGGACATCTCACTCTCCTGTAGTATTAAATAGCAGCAGTATTAAGATGCCAGTATTTAAAGCAGTATTAAAGTACCAGCTTTGCCATAGGGGATTGGGGGAAGATGTGCTGAGTGGCAAGTCTAAGGCACAGTACCTGTGCCTGCCAGCTTCAGAGCTTGGCCTTCCCCTGAAGTGTTACCTCACATAGGAAAGGTGTGGATTTATGCTCAGCAAAAGCACCAGGACAAATATGTACTTACTGCAGTAAGCGATTAGGAGACTAGCCAGGATCATGATAGCCCAGAAAGTTGAGGACATGCTTGGCAAGGCGCTGGCATCTTTCCTACTGCTTCTCCTGGGAGATGGAGCCATTGAAGCCACTTCCCCGGTGGGGGTAAAGTCAGACAGTTTCACCAGCCAGCTCTCCCCTTGACTGATGGCCTTGCTCCACGTGTAATCCTCAAGGAAGGCATCTTCCAGCGACTCTGCTGTTCATCAGCAGCAGCATGGTCCTGTTGCAGGAATCATCTTCCAGCCAGAAAGCCAAGGCGACTCTAAAGCACGCGGGGCTTGGGAACAGCGGCCGCAGCCAGCTCTCCTCCTGTCACTGTGGTGGGATGCACTAGCATGGAGGGTTTCACTGCGGCTGGGATGCCTCGCGTAGTACTGAGCTTCGAAGATGTCCCACGAACGAGCCTCCTTTTTTTATTTTTTTTTCTTTTCTGTTTTTAATTTGCAGAAGTTGCTCCGCTGGCTGTCCTTCCCCTGCCTCCCCGTCCCGGGGACAGCCCCCGCAGGCGGAGCGCGGGCCCCGGCGCTGCTAACGCGGCGCCTCCGCCGCCCGCCCGCGGCTCTACGGCGACCCCCGCTCAGGGCACCGCCGCCCCCCGGCCCAGGCCAGCATGGCCGCGGGGGCCACCGAGGGGCGAGGGCAGGGCAGGGCTCCGCCGGGCAGCTCCGCGCAGAGAGAGCGATCCGCGCCCCGGCCCAGCGCCCGCAGGGCGAGGACAGCCCCGGCCCCGCACGGCCTGTCCAGCCTGAGCTCTCCCCTCCCGACCGCTCCTGCTGCTCGACGGGGCGGAGGCGCGGGATGCGGCCGGAACACTTGAGGCGAAGGGTCGGCGGCGGACCGCCTCCGCTCCCTGCGCCGCCCGCTCCGCTCTCGGGCTCTGCCGCTACAGCAGCGCTGCCCCTTCAAGTAACGGGAAGCGGGAGGAGGAGGAGGAGGGGGCCGGCGGTCACGCCCACAGGTGCTCAGCGCTCCGCGCAGAGCGCTCCTTCCCTCCCGCCCGCCGCTCCGCTCGCGCGTCCCCGCCGGGGGAGCGCGCCCGCCCCGGGGCTCGCATCGCCCCCGGCCCCGCTCCCTTCCACGGGCGGCGCCCGCCGGGTTCGGGGAGGGAGGAGCCGCGGGGCCACTGTCCCTGTCCCCGTCCCCGCAGAGGCTGCTGCCAGCCCTGCTGTGCGGCGGGCAGGGACCGCGGGGCGAGCCCTAGGTCTCGGCGGGGTACAGCCGGCTCCGGCCCCCCGCATCTGCCCGCGGAGAGGCGGCGCGGAGGAGCGGCCGGGGGGAGCGGAGAGAGGGCAAGGGAGCGGAGGCGGTGCCCGCCCCGAGCCTCCTCTGGGAATCCCTGCTCGCGGCTGACGTGGGGTCTCGGCAGAAGAAGTGGCCCAGAGAATTGTCTCTCCCAGTCCCCTCACCTGCACGGTGCGGCTCGACATCTCCACGATGTATTGCGCCTCGACACGACCACAGATGCTAAAGGGAACAATTCCTCACTGTATTCCTCATCTGCGGTCCTTATGGGGACTGCTGTTGGCACGCGGTTTCTGCCGCTGAAATGGCAGCGACACATCTATGAAACCCACTTTAGAGGGCTTGAGTTCGCATGTGTGCCAGTATCCCTTATGATTAAAAGCTTAAATATTTTAAGAGAGACCAGGTAGTTCAGCTTTTCTGTTCAGAGTCTCCATAGCAATGTCTTCAAATTAATATTTTAAGTTCTGCAGAAGTCGCATTCCAAGTACAGGCAGGATTGGCAGATTAGAAGAGGAGCTTAGTCACAAAACGTCCCATTATCTCCTCCTGTGTTTTACTTGCATAATAGAAAAGCCATGAAAAAGCTGATTCGTATTGCTTCAGAAGCCCCAGGTATGTCTGATTGTTTGCCATTTAAACATATAAACTTAAAATTGCAGTTGAATGATGCAATATTCACAAGACAGGACTGTAAGGACCTTTTTAGTATGGCTGCACTTGGTTAGATACTTATACCTGAGTTCCGTTTTTCATCATGAGGACATTGCCAATGTAATCGCTTTGATTTTGAGATTTTGTGCCAGAATAGTTTCATCCTGAACTGGTAGGGCAATAGATTAATGTGTTCAAACATGCTTCAGAGACAAAAGTTTAACTATTGTATGGGTACAACTACATTTGGGTACCAAAACTTTTCCTTCCAAGATGTCACCTTCTTTTCCCTTATTTCCACGGGAATTTCTTTTCTAGTATAATTGAAAACTAGAATAGAGCATAACTCAAGCATTAAGGCAACATTTTAAGCTATATTCTCCTTCCCCATATCATTTGAAAGAGCATTTATATGTAGAGACAAATTCTTTGTATCATCTTCCATTCCTAACTTAAGCACTATATTTTTCTTCTAAGTCAACTTTAATTCATCATCCCTCTTGGAATCCTGAAGTATTACTTCAATTTGATGTTGTAAAGTTGTACAGCTTCATGAGCATTTTTTAAAAACTAGGACTTTCAAAATTCCTCTTCTCAGACTAAATGTAAGTAAGTCTTAAGCAACAAAAATGCCTCTTTGTGTTGTGCTGCTGTTCATTGCATTTCCAGGACTAACATGTAAATTAAGCATTTTTCTGCATTTATGAAAACATTTGATTTCCATTATAGCTGTGAGTAATGAAAGTCCACTTAAATAGCATATTTTTTTTAAATTACTATAAAGAAAAAGCAAAACTATCTTGAAATGAATTATGTAGAATGATGTATAGATCAAGAGACTCTAAAGCCATAAGGGACAGCTGTAGATGTATATAGGCAACCATACCTTTCAGTAGAGTCCACAGAATTCTATATCGTAAATCTTACAGTTTACCTTGTGGTTAGACAAGAGGATTTCCCTGGGAAATACATCCAGCTTTCAGTCTGAGGAGTGGGAGTCATGATGACTGTTCACCTAAATAGAGCTTGAAGGTTCATGCGGAAGCTTAAGTCTTGCTTTGATAATTCTGAAAACAGACATTCTTCACTTGAGGCCAGGTTAATTCCCATGTTGGAGAGCTACTCAGTTACTCAGAAAGTAAGGCACCATTCAGTGAATACAGGAACCACCAAGCTTGAGCCTTTGTGTTTCTATACAACTACCCGTAAAAGTTTTACAAAGACATTTTAAAATAATAAAGATTTTCAAACATTACATTTTGATTTGATTGTCAAAGACAAGACTTAAAACCACTCTTAAAATGCAATTTTAGGTCACTGCTGATTTTTTTTGTAAGTGCATGTTGATCTCCAGTAATGGCCTGGCTGTTCTGCAGGATCTTGTATTGAAAAGTATTTCTCCCTACAGTGACACTATTCACAATGTAAAGCCTTACTTTAGGAAGAAGTGGCAGAATGTGATCTCAAATTAATTTTCTTGCCCCTTTCTTGATGTTTCCCACACTTTGCTTTTCAAGGAAATTATGTGAGGTCTGTCTTTATTGCCTTCCTAATCTTCCAAGAAATTCCCAGTATCCAGACCTGTGTATACGGAAATGTAAGAAAAACAATGATTAAAGTCATGAGCAGACGTCTGAAAGATGAATAGAAAATAGAAAGCTAAATTAAAGGCTGTATATCAAAGTGAAATACCCTTTTCAGAAATCAGATTTGTTCCCATATATTCAAAGACACAGATCTCTTTTTCTGCCATTACTTTTGGAAGAGTTAATATTTGCAAGGAAATTAAAATAGTATTTAAGCTCTTTACTAAGGCTGTGTTATTGGTCACATTGAACTTATAAGAAAAATTGACTAGCAAAGGCATAGTTTGAAGTCTGTTGTAAGCTGTATCTATGTCAGAGTTTGTCCATGATGTGTGTATCTATCTCTGCTTTCTGCAAGGATGTCAGACCTGTGAAGTCTGTGTAGTGATGTTGACCTCTATTATAGGTGAGAAGATAGCCTACAGAGGATAAATCTTAACATTCATTTAGCATCAAGCATGTACATGATAGAAGGTAGATTACATTCTTCAGGTCTTTACAGAGAGACCTGTTCTTTTTGAATTTGCTTATTTTCTTTGAAAATAGAAGGTTGAAATAAAATGTAGGTAACTTATGTGGCATTGCACTGATTTAGAATACTTCAGAGAGAATTAACAATCAATAATATTCAAACCAACAACTGAGTTTTTGCTTGGTATAAAATAAAATCTTCAGTTGATTCTAAATGTTGATTTCAAGGAAACAACAGAATATCTGAATGGACATTATTGATTAGATTTGTTAATTTTGAGATAAATATGAGCAAAAAAAGATGTAAAAAAATAGCAGCATTTAAAACATTTTTTGCAATGTTAAAAACAGGAATTACATACAAGAGCTGTGTAATATAAGCTTGTTATATCAAAAGAATTTTCAAACGAAGAGCAGTAGAGCATAATACTAAGAACGTAAGATACTCAATTTTATTTAATAATTAATATTTTCCACAAATTAGTTAAATAACTCTATATGTCACATTATAAATGTCCATAGCACCTCTTTAACAACCATAGCAAATATAAGAAAGAAAGAATGCAAGAGAATTGCAATTTTCTTCTTCTTCCTTGAGATGGAGACCAGTCAGGGGTATAGATTCATGGTTGAAGAAAAAGAATAGTTTTAGTTAGATTTTATGAGAAGATTTGCTATCTTTGCATTTACTGACTTTAGGCCATCTTTAGAAAAAATATTTTATCTAGACACATGCCTCAATTAATTTTTTAATACCTTTTTAGTGTCCAGAATATTGACCATCTATTAGATGGGAAGTTTTTGCTATTGATTCACATGATGCAGAAAATTATTGTATTTGTGAACAAAGAAAAAGTAAGGAAGAAAGCTTTCATAAGTTATGGGAAATCCTCACCCTGTAAAATAAAATCAAATCTATGAAGTTGTTCACTGACAGCTATATTAACCTGTCCAATTATATGCAAAGCCAAACATTTAAAAAACGCAAGGAAGTGACAGTGGGAATCTGTTGCCAATACAAAACATTTTTATACCTGTCTGTATAGCTGATGGGGTGTCACAACATCCACATTATCATCCTGACTGAATTTTACTTGTAGACTTTACACTAAAATGCATAAAAGCAATGAAAAGAAATACTTAAAGGTGCATTTAAGTATTTCTTAATACTTTATGTCAAAGACAAGTCTGTAGTTTTTATTAAAAATGACACCAATATTATATCCTTTCAAAATATATTTGCCATTTTTTTTAAAAGAAATACTAGTTGTAGACGACCAAGAGATTAAATGAACTTTTTGTAAAAATACTGCATTCTCAGTTAGGTCCTAAAAATATAGAGATTGGACAAAAAACCACTTTACTCTTGTCATGCAAGTGCAAATATCACATCTAAAGCTGGGTTAAAATAAACTGCATCTTTTCATAGCATGTACTAATAAAATGTTTATTTTTTATGATGTGGGTGTGTAAAATTGTTTATTTGCATTGAAATGCCTACAACTGATGTGGCAGATAAGTACATTCTTGTCACTTAGCAACCTTTACTAGTTCAGAAAAAAAAATTGGTGGGGGGGGATCTTAAATGCTGTTATAAAAGTTTCTGGAATTTAGCAAATTACCAAATCATTCAGAAGTGAGTCATTACCTGAGGTACAGTGATGCAATATACTGGATTTGACAGCAAGAATAAAAATAACTAACTTGCATACATGGGTAATTTAGGAGGTGAGTTATTTTTAAAAATTAGGAAATAAATCAGAACATGAAACAGCAAACAAACCTGAAATAAATCCAAATATGGTAAATTGC